AAAATGGCAAAAGACCCTATTAAAGAATAAGCATTGGGAATTGTAGACATTAACTAAAATATATTTCAAATATCATCCCTTAATTTAGATATTCTATCATAAACTAACAACACCAATTTCATCTCTCAAGCGAAGAAATTGATTTGTTTTAACTGCCTTCGTCAGAAGATCTGCTAGTTGTTTCTGAGTGCTACAGTGCAGAACTTCTAATACTTCTTTCTGCATTTGACTTCTGAGAAAATGTTACTTCGTCTCAATATGCTTGCTTCTTCCATGTAGCACTGGATTCTTGGCAAAATCAATTGTAGACTTATTATCAATCATCAACTTCAGAGGTTCCTCAACTTCAACCTTCAGATCATGCAAGAGATTCAAAAGCCAAACAAATTGACAAGCAGCTACAGCACCTGCGATATACTCAGCTTCACATGTTGATAGAGCCACGACAGGCTGTTTCTTAGAACTCCAGGAAATGGGACCTCCCAGAAATTTAAACAAGTATCCATAAGTACTTCTCCTGTCCACTCTGTCTCCACACCAGTCAGAATCAGAATAACTTATTAATTTTGATTATGTCTTACTTTCAGAAGGAAACATCACTCCATATTTCAGAGTTCCTTTGATATATCTCAGAATTCTGACAGCAGCTTGGAAATGAGACCACTTTGGATTGCTCACGAATCTGCTAACCAATCCAACTGCATAACAAATGTCAGGTCTAGTATTGCATAAATACCTTAGAGAACCAACTAACTGTTTGAAGGTTGTAGTATCAACAGAATCAGCATCAGAGTCAGAATCCAATTTTTGATTTGTTTTTGATGGTGTCACAACAACTTTACAATTCTACAACTTAAATCTCTTCAGAAGTTCAAGTTCGTATTTCAACTGATGCAGAATGATATCCTTCTTTGAGTACAGAATCTCCATTCCTAGGAAGTATGTCATTTTTTCTAGATCTGTCATCTCGAATTCATTCATCAGAACTTCTTTGAACTTCTTTATATCTTCTGGAAAGCTACCTGTTAGCAAAATATCATCAACATAGAGACACACCAGAATCATATTGTTATCAGAGTGTTGCACATAAACGCCATATTCCATCTCACATTTCTGAAACTTCTGCTTCTTGAAAAACAAATCAATTTTCAGATTCCAAGCTCCGGGCGCTTGCTTCAGTCCATACAGAGCTTTATTCAACCTGTATATCATCTCTTCCTGATTCTTTTTCATAAATCCAAGAGGTTGTGACACATAAACTTCTTTCTGTAATGGACCGTTCAGAAATGCAGACTTCACATCCAGATGCATCAAAGGCCAATTTCTATTTGCATCTAAAGCCATCACCAGTCTGATTGTTTCATGCTTAGATACAGGCGGAAACACCTCAAAGTAATTTAGCCCAGGTTTCTGAAGAAAACCTCTAGCTACTAGTCTAGCTTTGTGCTTTCCAATTGAATCATTTGGCTTAAATTTCAACTTGAAAACTCATCTGACGCTGATGGCTTTTTTCTTATCTGGAAGTTTAGTCAATTTCCACGTTTTGTTCCTTTCTATTGCCTAAAGTTCTTCTTTCATGGCATTTAGCCATTCTTTCTTCTTGAGAGCTTCTTCAATGCCCGCTGGTTCATAATCTACTACCATGTCACACTGAACGACTTCCCCTTTAGAGTCAACTTCGTTATCCTGCAACATGTCGAAGTCTACAAACCTGCTTGGGTTTTGTCTGATTCTCTGTGGTCTCTGAGTTTGTTCTGAAGCTGCACCAGAACTACTACCTTCAGAGTTACCACCTTTAGAGTTTTCCATTCCAGAGCTATGACCACCACCAAATTCTGGATCATCATCAGCATCTGGATCAGAATCAGATCCATTGTCAGAATATTCTTCTGACTCATCTTCAGAATCTTCAGAATTAGATTCATCTTCTGAACTTTCTAAAACATCTTCAGATGCTAACTCTGGTGTTGGCACTACACCAGAATCTGATTGGGACTTGTCCCAATCCCATGTTTCAGATTGTTTCACCATAACGTCTCTGCTGATTTCAAATTTATTAGTTTTTGGACAATAAAGCTTATACGCACTTGTACTGTGATACTCCACCAGCAACATTATTTTGCTTCTATCATCCAGTTTCTGTCTTCTAGCTTCTGGAACGTGTTTGTAATAGACAGAGCCAAACACCTTCAGATGACTAACACTCTGCTTATCTCCAGTCCATTTTTCTAAAGGAACAACTTCCTTCAGCTTCTTCGTTGGACACCTGTTCAGAATATATGTTGATGTGGCAACAACTTCTCCCCATAGCACGTGAGGTAGCTTTTTCTCTTTCAGCATGCTTCTAGTCATATCAATCAAAGTTTTGTTACTTCTTTCAGCAAGACCGTTGTGATGAGGAGTATATGGAGCATTAACCTCATGTTTTAATCCACTCTCCTCACAGAACTTCTGGAACTCTGTAGAGTTATACTCACCTCCACCATTCGTTCTCAGAGTCTTCAACTTCTGACCACTCTGCTTCTCAGCCTTCACTTTAAACTTCTGGAACTCAGTAAACACTTCATGCTTGAACTTGATGAGTGTTACCCATGTCATTCTTATGAACTCATCCAAAAAAGACACAAAGTATTTGTTTCCTCCAAGTGAAGGTACTAGAAATGGTCCACACACATCAGAATGTACTACTCCCAGAGCATGCTTCGCTCTGGAGGCTACTTCTGATGCAAATGGCAATCTAGGTTGCTTGTCTTTCATGCATATCTCACATGACTTCTCAGACTTCACAATATTCGAAATACCATGTACAAGATTCTTAGAACATAGATGCCCTAGGCTTATATAGTTCAAATGCCCCAATCTCTTATGCCACAGCTTACTGTCATCTTCAGCGCCTTCCGCATTAAGACACGTTGCTTCAGCTGTTTCTACATTCACCTTGAAAGTTCTGTTGCTTCCTTGTTCAGAATTCATAATCAACTTCTGATTGGAATCATACAACGTTAGGAGATTGTTTTTCATAACAACTGAGAAACCTTTCTCAATCAGCTGACACACGCTCATCAGATTGCTTCTAATACCAGGAACATACCAAACGTCTTTGATCAGAATGTATTTCCCATTTTTCACTCTAACTCTGACATCTCCCATACCTTCTGCATTAAGATACTTATCATCAGTACATCTGATCTTTGTTCTCCTTCTAGAGTCAAAGTCTGTCAGCCATTGTTTGTTTCAGTTAAGTGATTTGAACAGCCAGTGTCCATATACCACCAATCTTCTGAGCATTTTCCATCAAAATCAGAAGTCATTAGTAACACAGGTTCATCATCAGTGTTTCTCTTAGCCATATACGCTTCTTTTGATTTCCTTTCCTTGTTTGACCTACAATCTCTGGCAAAATGGCCAAATTATTTACAAGAGTAACATTGAACCTTCCTTTTGCCATACCTCTCCTTCCTTTTATGATATCTCTTATCATCATAAGTTGAGGTTTCTGACTTCTGGAATCTATCACCACGTCTATTATGCTTCTAGTCTTTCTTGACAAAAGAAGCCTTCAGAGCTTGCTCAGCTTCCCTCTCAGAAGTTTCTCAGACAGACGTAACTCATGTGCTTCTAAGCTGCTTTACAATTCTTCTATTCTCATGGTTTCCATTAGAATGTTCAATAGAAACAACAATATAATCAAACTGAGGGATAAGCGGCCTCAGAATCTTCTATGTGATTACCTATTCAGACAGAGTTTCTCCACACGCCTTCATCTCGTTAGTAATCATAATCACTCTGGAGATATATTCAGAAATTTTCTCACAACTCTTCATGTTCAAGTTCTCATATTGCTTTCTCAGGGATTGAAGCTTCACCTTCTTTACTGATGAATCACCACCGTAACATCTCACCAGTAAATCCCACGCCCCTTTTGACGTTGTTGAATCAACAATCTTCTCGAACACACTTTCATTCACACACTGATGAATATAGAACAAAGCTTTTGGGTCCCTCTTCCTCATCACCCTCTCAACAGTTCTTTGTTCTTCAGTTGCATCAGCTACAGCTGATACATAACCATCTATAACCAGATTCAGAACATCCTGCGCACCAAACAGCACATGCATTTGTATCATCCATTTGTTCTAGTTTTTGCCATTAAAAACTGAGAGTTTGTTCAAGATTTCAACAGAAAATCAAAGAACCAAAATCAAACACACAGCTCACAATCACTCATGTTTTCCAGGAAAAACAGAACCAAGTGCTCTAGATACAAATTTGTTGGTGCAAGGTAATGAAATGGGAGAAGAAGAATGAACAAAAATGATAACAAGACTACTGTTGTATTATAAAATAGAGGAGATAAAATTAGGTTCAATATTAATAGACTAGTATAATATATTTATACTAAATATTAAAAATGTCAAAAGATCCTATTAAAGAATAAGCATTGAAAATTGTAGACATTAACTAAATTATATTTCCAACTAAAGAGTAGGGGAAAATGAAGTGCGACTAAATACACATATTACACAAAACATATAATAATTGAAAACACTGAAACTAATAATTAATTGTTAACAGGTACATTGGTGGAAGAATAAAATTTCACTAGGCTTCGAAAACAAAACGTGACTTTGGTGCAGCCTTTGTCAAAAAGGCCTAAATTAAAGAGATCAATTTCTTTCTCTTTGGTTATATCATTCACAACACATTTTTCAGCTGAAACTAAATTAAGTGAGAAGAGAAACACTGATTGGAAATCAGCTTAAGTCATAGCAGTTAACATCATCTCCACAAAATATGGTCACATATTACATTAAGATTATTATTTCTCTCAACATTGTATAGAAATCAAAAGTATTATTATTATTACTCTTCAAACCACAAGTAGTAAACTGCAGGATACCGAGTTCGATTCTTACTCATAAAAAAAACACAAATGAAAACAAAGATTAGAATGTAAGTAAAGCAGTCACAGTATTGTGAACAAAACTGTAAAACTCAAACTAAGTTGTGAGGATAGGAGGGAGGTAATCAGCTTTGCCTCCGAGAATCCGAGCCTTGGTGTCGGGGAAGAATTCACATCCTGGCAGCTCTGTGACATCTCCTTCACTTGAAACTCCAATCGGATAGCGAAGCAAGTGGCCAGGAAGGTCGTGCTCGAGCGAATCGTTGGAATAAAGATCCCAATATTTGTCAGCAATCTGGTTCACCTTAGTGATACATTCTTCACTTTCTGGATGGAGGAATGACTCATGCAGCATGCCGAGGTGCTCGTACCATAATGACATGCGGAAACCGTGGACCTGACCACGTGCCGGCTGTCTTGTAGCCAAATGGTGGGGCTGATACGCTCCCATTGCTATCTCAGAGTCCCTCGCACCGTCCATTGATCTTTGGTTGATGTTGGCCGATCCAACGATTATGTATTCGTCATCAACTACAAAGACAAAAAACATATATACATAATAATGATAAAAAAAATAATCAATTTATGAGATTAATTTTCAAACTTACCTATCATCATCTTGGTATGAACATAGATCATGAAACGGCGGGCCTGTTGGGCTCTCTCATAATCTGAATCAGGTTCTGGTTGTTCAGAAGGCTGGTATTCTCCTTGTTTCTTCACTTCCCGATTACCAAGGCAGAAGAACGTCAAATATTTCCGAGGATCTTCCTCAATTCCCTTGGCCCTAAGTGCTTGAACGATATCCTTGTACATCATCTCCATTGTTCTCCTCTGCCAATCCAATATTGCTTGAACCGACGCACTTTCTGGAACACCTTCTGGCCACATTGGGACAACAACGTACACTGTAAACTTTTCCTCGGCTTCAATCTTACTCATAATCTTAAGTGACAGTTCCTTTGGGATTACATGCAGAGCACCGATGTCTTCAGGCTTAATATCCTCGCCACTCCAAGCAAAAGAGCTTCCAAGGAAATACTGATTTTCAATATAGATGAAGTTCTTTGCGCGTCGAATAGCATTAATATAAGCATCTTGAATGCTGCGATCAATGATATTGTCCTTACCACTAACAAGCCCGGCTCTTGCAGCATCTTCAGGAGTCTCTGGGAACCCGAAAGCTGCTCCACCATCAATAGATCTAAACAACTGAACATTCCATGTCTCTTGATCATCGGGAAACGTTACCGGCGACGGAGGGATAATAGAATCTTCAAGCTCTCTCAGAGAAACCAGTAAATCCTTCCCACCTTGCTTCCTCCAACGCTGCTCAAAGTTAAACAAAACATCCCAAGCGATCGGTCCTTCAAGCCGAGAGTGAATGTCATGCCAAGGTTCCCTTGGACCGCCTTTCGTGATCGCAGCACCGGGGAAGTTAGGTTGATGAAAATCATCATGGTGAGCCGTGTCAAGGGTTCTGAAAAGCGAGTGGAATGCAGTATCATATCTTCCATCACAAAGGTCAATACCCCCAACAAAACTAACAATTCTTCGCTTATCCGACCCTGAACCAGGTAATTCACTGTCAACCACCACAATCTTCTGATGATGAGTAAACATGGTGGAAATTTGTAAATCTTGAACAATGCTACCACCATCATCAGGATTGCGGGGGCATAGGACACAATTAACATCAGTGCCTTCGAAGAACTGTGCGGTTTCTTCATCATGAGTAGCCATCAATCCATCCTTTTTTAACAAATTAACCGACGTTCTATCATCCCAAACAAGCATCAAAACCCTAACACCTTCACTCGCTTTTTTCTTGAGAAGCTCACCGAGCGTTACGTCTCCCCCAGCCTTTGGTCTCCTAGAATCCCTCACCAACGAAATTTCAGTATAAACAGACCAACCAGTAATATATATCAAGTGTTTCGCATTAGTGATTGCATCAAAGATATCCTCCCAACACCTATGAGGCTCATATTTTTTACCACCCGAAAGTGATATTTTAGGGACGAAATTATCTGGCACATGAGCATCTTGGTAAAGAGATACCTTACATCCTTGCCTCTGCGAGAAGAAAGTATAAGGAACTCCAGGAAATTTAGTACTATGAATGCCTCGAGCCCAGCTACGGTCTTTCGTGACATCAAAATATTGCAGCTTCACATGAATCTTCGAACCCTCAGGTATCGGATTTTTTTCCTTATCCAAAATTTCCAGCCACCTATCTATTTCCTCGCCATCCAATACCTCCTCGACAGGCACATATGCTCTTCCAATTAAGGTCGCTCCAATAGGATTATCATCTTTCACGGTGAATATGATATTGGAAGCCAAATGAGCACAGTAAATGTGAAAGGACTCATACCATTTAGGATTAGTATGTTCGTTTTCGATAATTCTAGTCCTTCCCACTCTCGCCTTCTCCAAATCAATAGTAGCATAGAGTTGAGTAACTCCCTTTCCAATACCAACAGTCTCCTCAATGTTTTGCCTGATCTGTAGAAGCGTATACGCATAAAATGCAGTCATTAATAATGAATAAGAAAAACAAGAGTGTAAGACTAAAGAAACTGAATATTCTCTTTTTGGTAGGTGCATTGTATGTATGCGAATATGCACGAATAATTAACATTAGTAGCTTATATACAATAACTAAGATTCAAGCAAACTTCATTTTTTACTAAAACATAGCTTCTGCGCTATAAAGGATGCACAATAAAGTTAACGATCATTCATAAAAGATCAGTAGATTGAACAAAAGGTAATTTCAACCTATGAAGCACGGACACATACACGAACATTGTACACTAACACTGACACGTTGACACTGATAATAATTTGAAAACTGAATATATTGAACGTAATTACAAATGTCAGTGTCGGTGTCGTGTCAGACACTCCCACCTTTTTTCAAAGATGTTAGTGCTAAAGAGATTTCAACTGAAGGCAATGAATCAAGTCAAATAAACAGTTAAATTACAACATGTTAATTAAGATTTGGTTCAAGAAATCATGATTTGGGCAGGACGACAATCAATAATATAGATCAATGTTATCAATTGGAGATGGAGGACCATGGAGGAAAGCCAAAAGTCCACGTTCTGAACATCTTTCACAAATTGGCCGTGGCAGTCCACCACTATCTGCCATTGCTGATATTTGACAACACTGATATAGATTAACATTGTCATTTCCATAATATATTCTTCACACAAAGGGTTACAAATGATTGGCAGCAAGGTTTTAAAAAACGGTTCGTTACTGCAAAAACAGTCGCGACAAAACGGTATACCGTTATTCACTATTTTTATGATGAGAAAAAAATCACAGACGAAAAAGCTGTTACGACGACGACAAAAAGACAAAAAGTAGTTACGCGTAAAACACTGTTAGGGCCGCAAAATGTCGTTATCACATCATTATCGATGCAAAATTTTGAAAGTTTTCAGAATAAGAATATCAAAATATAAATCACATAAAATATTCATTATAAATGCTGTGATTTATTCACACCGCAGTGAGTGCATTCAGTAACACATTCGGCAACCGCAGCACAGCCGCGAGTCCGCGACAGTTATTTAAAACATCAAGTGGCAGTATAAGAAAAATGATGTATATACAAAATTTAAGATCAGATAAGAAATGAAAGTATTATAACAGAATCACAGAATAAAAATCAGCAGAACTTTTCATATACAGTATCCAAAGAGATCACAGATCCTCCAAAGCATGCAGGGTCCACTTCACTTTTAAGGCATCAATCATCAATTCATCATCACCATCAAAAGATTCTTATTCAATCATTTGCAAAACAAATGTAAGAACACATACACTTCAAATTCAAAATAATTATAAAAAAAAAATCAAAACTCAAAATCAACAATTAAATCACCAGATCCAGATAAATAATTTTAAAAAAAAAAATACCATGCTCAAAAAATTTCCACCGGGACCAGCCTTAAGCTTATCAACCTCATAGATGGTAGCATGAAGAGTGCCATGAAGATGAATTTGTGCCATTTTTCACCTACAAATAAAAATTCATTCAACCCCATTTCTAATCAGATCAATAAACCACAAAAAAAAAAAATCAACTTTAATCAGTAAATAATCCAACAATTAGCAGAATTTGAGTTAATCACTCACAAAGATGAAAACTTTAAGCAACGAAACAGTTAAATCAGATCAAAGGTTGAATTAAAAAAGGTAAGATCATTACAGAGAGAGAGATGGAAAAATACAAACTTTTGAAGGGAATGTGAAGAGGAAGAAAAGAAAAATGACAGGGTGAGAGACAGATCCGAGAAAAGAGCAGTGAGAATGAAGCATAGACGTGAGAGAGACTCTGTTTTTAAACACAGGAAGAAAAAAAAGGAAAGAAAAATATTATAAAAGTTTTCAATCTAATCTCTATTTGCTCAAAAAGCATAATCATGCCTAATTTCACTTGACTAATTCTTTTTTTTTTATTTATGATTTTTTAATTTTATTTTTCTTATTTAGTAAAGTAATTAGCTTTGTGATTAATTAAAAAAACACAAATAGGTGTAAATTGGAAACTGAGTTTTGATGAGTTTTTAATATGCGGTGTGAGATAATTTATAAAATTAACATTCTAACATTTAAGTCATTGAATAAAAGAGAAAATAGTTTAAATATGTGAATGAATGAATATTTTGTCCTTGTGTGATCTTGCATCTTATTCAGAAGTCTCATGATTGCAAGTACGCAGAATTCTCAACATCTTGATCCGCACTTTATTGTTCTAAGAGTCTGTTTGTTAAAATAACTAGTAGCTGATAAATTAGTTTCTGAGTTATAGTTGATGATTAATAATTTATAGATTATAATTGATGATTATTAGCTGATAGCAGATAAATTAATTGAAATATTTAGTAAAATAATTGATTTAATACCAGATAGATGTAAAATGACAGAAACAAGATTTTTTTAATTTATAACTTAATTATTATATTATATTTTATAATTATTATTATTATTAAATTTTATTTTATTTAAAATTAAATATAACAATAACACATATAAACAATTTTAAGATCATATGTAAATTAAACAATATCAAAATATACCCAACACATATAAATAAATTTTATTGGTGAACGACAAATGATAGAATAGGAGGAAGCAGTAATAAAGAGCAAGGTTGGAATCAATGGAGAAGAAAATTGAAGAAGATGAAATGAAAAAAAAAAGGAAATGGAGAAAAAATATAAGATTATTCATAATTTTTTTAGATATAAAATTTACTTATTTTTATTTATGTATTTAAAATATATTTATTTTATTTTAAATTATGATAAATTGTAAAAGATAAAGAAGAATTTTAGTTAAAAAATAATAGAAATAAAAAAATTATAAATTTAAAATCTATTTCAAATACTTTTGAGAAAATATCATAAGTAAGTAAAGATAATTAAAAGTTAGAAAGTACAATAGATATCAAACCCGTAATTTTATGTGAGGTAAAAAACTAAAAATTTAGAAGTTTGTTTTTTGATCTTACAATAAATAAGACTCAAACTCTAGTCATGATTAGATTTTGACTTATATATATTTTTGGTCCTTCAATTATGTTTTTTTTTTCAATTTTAATCTCCTCATTTCAAAAATCAGTTTATACAGTACAGTCTTCTAATTTTGATTCCCTCATTTCAAAAATCGATTTACAGAGTCTCCTTATTTTGTTTTTCTGAGGAATATAGTCCCCTTTTCAATCTGAATATGTTTTTTAATAACGTGACAGATATGTTGCATATGTGTCATGTCCCAGATGAATATTATAATTTTTAATGTTATGTTTTGTTTTTTATTTATTTTGCTAATTAAATTAATTATTAAAATAAAAAATTATTAATACTTAACCCTAATTTTTCAGAGTCCTATTAATTTGCTTCAAATCGTATCCATGAAAGGGGAAAGCGAGTTGCGTATTCTCCCACCTGGAAATTGAGATCGTATCTTCCTTAAGCTTCGTGTTCCTCAAGCTTCGTCTTCGTCTTCCTCAAGCTTCGTCTTTCTCAAGCTCCATCTTCCTCTTCTTCTCATACTTCTGCAACGAGATTCATGTCTTCCTTAAAGTTTTCAATTGCTTCAAAAAATAACTCCGGTTTAAGAAGAAGAGTCCATACATATTGGTGTGACACTGAGTCACTGATGCGGTATATTCGCAAGTGTACGAATCGCGTCAGAGTAATATAAAAGATTATCGATCCATAGAGACCAATCATCAATCTATTGTTTCCTATTGTTACGGTGTTTAGCTAAGTCAATATTAAACAGGGAATTTAGCATGCAAGAAAGTAAAGTGCAGCGAAATAAACTTCAGATATAAAAGCAAGGTCGAATGTAATTCACGTAGTCAGATGATATTCGCAATGCTTCGGAATAGAACTACTTATAGGGCAATATTTTCTACTAAAGAAAATAACTAATTTAACAGGAACTATCACTTTCGCGTAATCAGAACCGAGTTTACTCTCTAATCAGACCTTCTTATCATCACTTATAAAAAGGCGCGCATTGCGTTAAAGTGATAAACCTATTTTTAAGAAATAAAGTACTTGACCAAGTTGAAAAGTATTTTGATATGGAATTTGTAATAAAAAGGTAACCTAACTTTAACCCTATAAACGCGTCTGAAAATAGTTTCAAAATTGATTTCTTTGATAATAAAAATCCCTAACTAACCGGACAAAGCGCTTTCGCTTCCTTTGACCAGTTAGAACTAATCGAGTTTAACAAAGGGTTGGACGACTTTCGATCTTACCCAACAACAATAAAGTACAAAAAACTCGTATTAAAAACCAAAATAGCCCATAAGCATTTCTATTGACACATTATTTGGAATATCGATCTAACTAGATTCCTTACATTTTAGCCCAGTAAGGTTCAGCCTGACATGGGAATGTAAACAGACATGTTAAAATAAATAATGCGAGAAAGTAAATAATTTAAAGTGCGGTGCGGGAAATAAACAAAGTAAAAGCAGGTGCGGGAAATAAACAAAGTAAAAGCAGGTGCGGGAAATAAACAAAGTAAAAGCAGTGCGGGAAATAAACAAAGTAAAAGCAGTGTGGGAAATAAACAAAGTAAAAGCAGGTGCGGGAAATAAACAAAGTAAAAGAAGTGCAGGAAATAAACAAAGTAAAAGCAGTGCGGAATATATAAATAGAAACCTGCTCCAAACGGGGAGGTTTTAAATCTGGTACAAATTGGAAGTAAAATGCAACTGGAAATAAACAACAGTTGAAAATAAATGTAGCAAGATAAACTTCTGCCGAAGTGCTCCAAACTCGATTACAGACTCAATCTACGAACTCGATCACAGACTCAATTAACAATGCAATAATTCCCTGGTGTGAAGAATTATCTCTTTACAATGGTGAAATTATATGGCTTAAGTTCGCAACTATGGTTGGATCAAGTTTGCAACTAAGCTTGGGTGAATTGAAATGACATCAGGAACTTCTATTTATAGAGGATGAGGAATGCAGGAAATCACATGAATGCCCCCCAACTCCTTTTGGGGGGGAAAACATCGTCCAAAGGTGGCGCCCGCCATGAGTGTAAATGAAAGGAAGTGGGGAACATGGCAGTTTAGGTCAGCAGGAGATGGTCCACGTCATGGCCTACTCTATGGTTGGCGCCATGGTGGACGCCATGAGTGCAAATTTGACCTAAACTCCTGTTTTTCAGCCTGTTTTCCTTCATTTCTTCAGGGGAGCTCTGGATATTTGAAATACCTAAAAAGGAAACAAAAGATAGACATAATACGAGAAAACAATAATAAAAAACCTAAATAACATGTGAAATCAGAGTAAAAAACAAGTGTAAAGTAAGTGTTATCAAATTCTCCCACACTTAAACCTTTGCTTGTCCTCAAGCAAGAACTCTAAATAGATTAAGAAGAAAAATGGTGTTAGTGAACAAGTTGGGCTGCAAGGGGCCTCTGGAATTAAAACAAGGATGTATTGATAGGTACTGACTGATTCAAACCAAAGATATCATAGTGACACTCTTCCGTAAAACGAACATAAGCTTCATTCTTTTACGAACCAATCCATATCATGCCACTATGCTTAAGCCTATATTTTTCCTTTTTTTCAAATCCTTTTTCATTCAGGCGCAATCACATTAAGCTCGTTATTCGTACATGCTCATAGTAAAGCGACTGGGTAGTGATTATGATCATAAAACGCAGGGCTCTGGTACAAAAAGTTGGTATAACCCCTTTTATTGACCCATTTATAGTTGCGGGGGATCGGATCGTAATCCGCCCTACCAAGTTCAACACCAGATACCTCTGAACCAACTAAAGATGGGTAAAAAAAAATTCTTTTTCTTTTTCTTCTTCTTTTGCTTTTGCTTTTGCTTTATTTTTCAACATACAACTTTTGTTGAGTTAAATGACTTTGTGAGGGTCACCTATCCCGGGGTTGTAGTTTATAATAAGAACATAGCATATAGATCATTCACTTCTCTTCGGTCCCCTACATAGAGCATGCTTAGACCGGAGCTGACTGCTAGGATAAACTATTCAAGGATTTAAGAATGAAAATTTTAAGGCCACGACATAGGGGGTGTCGAGATCAAATTCCTAAATTTACGAAGCTTAAGGTGTAAAAATGATGTCGATGCTTCGAAAGGGCTTTCCCAAGTCATACTACATCCTATCTCAACCAGGTCTTATAGCCCAACTAAGTTCAAAACACATTGTTTTTCTTACGAAATTTTTTTTCGGTTAGGCTCAAGAAATGGGGGAGTGGACATACACTAGACCATACAGATATAGATGACTCATCAAACACATGTATTATTTTGAAAAGAAAGCAAACAAGCAAACTAAAGCAAATAAAGAAGTAAAATAACGAGAAGGAAAATGCAGGAAAAGGGAAAAATAAAGCGAGAGAAAAAATAAAGCGAGAAAGCGAGTAAATCTCCTCCCACACTTAAATTGAACATTGTCCCCAATGTTACGAAATAATAATAGGAAAGAGTCA